ACCAAATAGCCAATAGCAGTAACTAATCCCAGCAAAATTGATGTTGCTAAATTTATCTGTGTTTGTCAGATATTCACACTGTAAAAGGTAATGCCTAACAGCCTTTCGATGCGGCCAGGGGAATTATCCCGATTGTACTATTTATCTAAAACCCTTGATGTTGGTTACTTCTCGTCCATTTCATCTCGCACTTGAATTAATCTAAAATAGTACTTTTTATTGAAAGTTGGGGTGTTATCCCCAACCTTTTCTGCTGCGGAATTCGTGTTTATTGGCTGCCTTCTTTCGCCATTTCCATTGGAAGTCCGCTGTCGATTGTGAGCTTTCATTGAAACCATTGCAAATGTTTAGCTGAGACAAAAAATCTCGTGGAATTGAGATGGTTTTACATTGACACCAAGTAAATATTTGCATTCTACTAAAATCTAAACCATTCGAAAATTCTCCGTTATGTTTAAAATGATAGTCAATGGAAACGATTTATTGCATCTGCTTGTTCCCGTAGTTTTAAAGGTAGTTGTGCTCCCCATATGCCTAGTCTCGGATTCTATTCAAGTGGTATGCTACCTCTAATTTAACTGGAGCGCTGTAATGTAACAGCTGCGGAGCAAAGCAAAATCAAAATCATTCAGACTGGCTATTAGATCTAAAGAACGTAGGTTATTAATACTCCATAAAATCCAGAGCCTCCTTCTATTCTTTGGGAACCATAGTTCTACCGATCGGAAATGAATTGCCCAAAAAGTTAAATAACTGAAAATTGCTGTGAAGCATCGACAAAGGATTTTTACAATAAAAATGTATTCATCATCGTCCGTTAGCAGTCCCGGTCAAGCCGATGTTGCTGAATCTAGTTATGGACGTCAATTAATCTTACAATACAGCTGAGGTGTTGCTTTTGTACTGCTCGTCCAAAAATCGTGATTGCTTTAATTGGCATAATAGAATGAATAATCTAGAATATCGTCTGTTTTATTAGGAAGTGGGGATGTGATTCACAGTCATTCTTTTGCAGAATGCGCTTTTGGAGGTATTCAGTGCCTCTCCATTTTCTTTAACAAACGAGGACCAGTTGTGCGCATCCAGGTAAATTAAAATGCTCGGAAAAATGGACTGTTTTACTTGCTTTTATATAAGATTAAGACCAAACGTAAAAGCTCATAAAACTCATACGGGTACTATAGTGGTCAAGAGGTACTTGTCACGCTTCGGAGTGTTATGGACAAGGCAATACGATGATTTGGCCTCCGTCATCTTTATTCAAATTAACCTGTCTTACTTACGAATTTCTGTTGACAATTTGTCTTTCCATGAGGATTTCATCATGTTTAATTTTTGTTAAGGCGAAGTGCTCCTAGTGCTTCTGGCGGACTGTCTGGCCGCTAAGATTAATGTCCTATTTCGCCTTTTGGTGAAACGGCTGAGGCATTGACGCGTGATTTTGAAATGCTAAACCCCAAATAATGCCTGAATGATTAATGGTTGCCTAATTTTAATCAGTTGCGTGCTTATATCTAATTCGTGCTTAATCAAGTCATTTTCGCGCTTCAACTTTTTATTTTGAAGGGTTAACTCACGCATCATGGTTTATTGCTCTTGGTTGACTTTTTACTCTGGTAATATTTTATCAGTGTGAGAAAGCACCCTCTTACTAGTTAGCCAGTTGGGAAGAATGGTATGCGAGAAGCGCTTGTCGTCAGTCATCTTTCGTCCATTTCGATTGGATCTCGACTTTGACTGATTGCCTAGCTGCTCCCTCCTCTTTTTGTTTTTACCCTTTCTTGGTACCCTGTGAAAAATTCCCATGAATTTGTATAACCGACGTTAAGTTTTCCATGTAAATACAGGCATATTCAATCTGTTCAACACTAGAAAATCCTGAAATTCTAGGGGTGAGTCATGAAGGTCTGAGGTCCATAGTCTCGTTTTTTTGAGTGTCGAAATAATGCTTAGGCTTACTTTTTTTGGTGCGAAGCGTTGGAAGGTTATATTTCATTGTTTAGCCGTACAGACGATTGGCTTCTACGCCTGAATTTGACGCCAACCTTTTTGAATTCGCGCTTTTTTGATTGGGGAATATTTGTCTGGTGCCTTACTCTGTTATTGTTGAGTTTTTTAATGTTTTTTTTTAAGTGCGACTGAAGCCGTTAGCAGAGCGGAAGCGATGGCTGTTTCCCTATGACAATTTAATAGCCTCAGCTCTAACAATTATAAATCGGTCTGCGAGAGTTTAGAAGTAGCGCTTGTGATACTCTCATCATAGTTTTATGGACCCCGCTGACAGTGTTGCCCCTGCATGGTTGGACGATCTGTAGGCCACTGGCGACCTCAATTGAGGCAAAAGAAAAACCAGGGTGCTGAGGTACCTTAGTGGCCCCGCCCGATAGAAACAGACGGTGTACCGCGCATGCATAAACTACAATACTCTCGCTCTTTTATAGCCTTTGGATGACCTTGGAAGCAAACGCAGTATTAGTACCATCATAAGGAAGTTGGGCGCGGAACAAAGTTTGAATGTCCGGAAATGGAAGAGTGTAAAATTTTGAGGCAGACTCTCTCTCTGAGGCTGTGAACGTCCCCCGTACATAGACAGTGCCCGCAATAATTCCAGAGGGCTTTGCTCAGCGTTCTCCATGGAAGACACCGTGTGAAAATTCCTTTTGTCTGCATTCGACAGTAGATTTCCAATGCGAGGGAGAAACATCGGACGATGTCTCGAGTCCTGATAAGCTATTTTCTAAATGTAATTTCTATGGTGTCTGCCTTGAACTACCGGTTCAACCTACCACAGAGGCAGGAGTTTTGTCTATTTTGCGGTACAAAGGCGCTATTTTAGTTTATTATACTATTGCGCGAAGCTAGAACATTTTAGTCTGCACCGAAAGTGGCTGAAAATTCTGCTATTTGGCTCTTGTAAAGGAACCTTCAAATTTGAAAACACTTGACTAGTTACTCGTACTAGCTTGGTGGGGTGATTATCGGATCACTCCATGGTTGATAAAATGGGAGTAGTTAACTGGAGGAGGCGGTAACTGCTTAAAAGCTTTGGGTCGATGAAGCTAGTTTGCATGAATTTTGATGTGGCAATTGCGAGCCTCATCACTTTGATTTTGGCCTCGGTTTCATCCGTAGATCTACGAGTAACTTTTACGATTTCCAATTTGGAGATTGAGACTGTACACTTAGGAGATAAGATCATCGTTAAAAAGAATGAATTAAAGGAAAGCAATTATGTTTTTTTTTACCCTTGCGATGAGCACCTTGAAGCTCTTTTGATTGGTCAGATCCTCAGCAAAGGAGTTTGTTTACTTTGTCATGTTTCGTGAAAATTGGACTCCACTAGATCTGTCTTGACTAGGTCTGCCATCTGGATTACGCTAGCGTCTGCATAGATTTCACAAGGTCTTCACGTAAATGGCACCAGCTAAAAGTTCCTGTTGTCCGGTTGCCTGCATAATTTTAACGAGACTTCTGATGCGAGAAAAGATGTGCTGAAGGTTTCCTTTGTTGAATAGTCATGGTATCCCTCAAAAATAACGGTGACCATAGTGCAGGAAATGTGTGACGATTACGTATTCCATAGTGAGAGGTCGTGAGGTTCACTCGCTCTCTCACTTTAGGTCACCGTTTTAGATTATCATATCATGTGAAGGAAAGAGCCGAAACCAATCAACAAAAATGCCTTATACTGATATCAATCAAATACGTACTAAGCCACGCTGTAGGCGTTGTCCTTCCCCTACTCTACATCCGTTTTGAGTGCGGTTATTCACAGGCAATGGTAAGTGAGGGTGCATGCTTTTTTAGCGAAAGAGGGTGTTGTAGTTGGACAGAATATCCATTTTTAAAGTGCCCACCGCCTTAGAGCTTCTGGCATGGCCCGGAGGCCTGGCGGAGGTACAGTGGCAGAGGCCCTAAGGGCCTCGTTACCAAAACCGGGAGTTTAACAAGCAAAAAACCATCACCCTATTACTGGCTCATAATGAGTCGGACTAAGATAATCTTTGCAGCGGTGCTGCTAAATAGCCTAATACCGGAAATGTTAGGGGCACGATGAAACAACCAACTGTCTCCTTTGTCTATCATTCGTGTACTTAGTGATATCCGCCTGAATGATTAGGCTATGGGATAGAAATAGGATGTGTTCGATGCTATTTTTAACAAAAGAAGTGGAAAAAGAATTGTCCCATCTTGTTTTCATGCCCATGTGAGTACAAGTGTATTTGCGTTTATCCTGTATGTCGCCATGGCAACAATTCCCATTTCCTGGAAGTTTTCGATTTTAGTAAGAGCTCACAACCGAATGTAGCCTCTCAAATCGAGAGGGTAAGCGTCGACTGTTTTTGCACCCGTCAACTTTTGGAACCTGTCACAGACCACTGATTGAATCTAGTGGAAGGCCGCGGTCACGTGACCTTAACTTGAATCTCTGTTTTCAGGTTGAAAGAACTAATAATAGTTTTGAAAATTCAGTCTACTATGTAGAAAAATCGCCGAGTATTAATCTGTGACAATTCTCTAAGCTGCATCTCATGCATACCATGTTTTTTTCTAGTATACGGATAGCTGACATCTACAGCTAGTATTAGCTGTAATGATTAACTAGCTCTTGCACTTTGATATTTTTATCTCTAACATTTTAATTATTCAATTTATCAAATCATCCCTTCCTCGGTTGGTGGAATAGATTTTCCTAGTGGAGGGTAAAAGTGGCTCATACCTGAGTCCAAAAATTTTATCTCACTATAGAAAACTCGGTCTGCAGTGATGCAGCAGTCTTTAAGAATTTTCATTTGACAGTCAAATTTCGGTAATTGCTCTGTTTTCAGTGCTCGAGCTTCGCCTTAAAAATGCACAGTTTTGCAATTTCACTGAAAATTCCGATTTGTTTAGCATCGTTGTCTTTGATAACGATAAATTCTGCAGCTGCTTCGTTATCTCTGTGATTTCCTTCGGGACAGGTGTCGATGAAGATCTCACAGCTCACCTTCGCGCACGAGATGGGGCATAATTTGGGAGCGAAGCACGATGACGACTTCAAAGAGGAAACACCTGCGTGTCTGCCCTCGGTGGACGATCCCAAGGGTAACTACATTATGTTCGCCAGTGCCACTGGTGGTGACAAGGAGAACAATAACAAGTTCTCTGTGTGCTCTGTTAACTCCATCGCCCGTCTATTGCACCAAGTTCTCAAGGTAAGCGCTTGGAGTTTGTCTGCGTTACCTCTGCCGTTATATGGTAGGCGAGGGTGAGTTGTAGCTTTATTGTTGTACCTGAGGTTATTCCTGTAAACGGATTGCCGAAAGTTGATGGATTTTCAGTAGCCCTTTGGGCATCCTCTAGTGGCATCTAAGCGTTGTGTCCATCTGGTGAAGTGAGGATTGTTGCTCTTTCGGAGTAGGTTTACTCGCTACTAGCGTTTGATCTATTCCTGAAGGTGTAATGGAGCACACCGGCATGGAAGTTGGCTTGTTGTCAATGCACAAAAGGATGGATAAAATGGGCATAGCCAAATGTTACTACTACAGCAGTCTTACCGCGGGTGAATGAGAAGAGTAGCACATAAGTTCTCTCGGGTTTTGGTCTCAGCAGATTTAGTCATGCACGCCCTGTGTCTCACCTTTTTGACATTTTTGGGATAGTGTTAAGCCGATGAAAAGTGAGAATACCTTTTTCTCAGGATGGGTTTGCCAACGTTGCCATCACTGTTGCGCATTGCTGAAGATGTGGTGAAACATAGGTGTCTGGAAGCTTGGCATAAGTGCCTTAAGTAGAACCCCATATCACCATCACAGATTTTGAATCGTGGGAGGCTAGAGACTCAAGTAGTTACACACTCTATGAGAGGGTTCTAGGCCACCACTGTGTGGGCTGAATCACGAGTACCCATAAAGACGCATGTCATTCGGTTACATGATGTATATTACCTTATTCTTCCAGAGTGAATCCAACTGCTTTTTTACCTCCAATGGTTCGTTTTGCGGGAATCGGCTAACGGAGGAGGGTGAACAGTGCGACTGCGGTTTCACTCGTGAGGATTGTGATGACGTCTGCTGCTATCCCAAGGACTCCAAGGAACCCTGCAAACTGAAGAAGTTCGCCAATGTTGGCAACACCACCGTTAAGGTAGATTTGCACTTCCCATGTCCCGATTACTTAACCATCGTAACTGGGATCTTGTGCAGGTTCGTTGTTCGCCAACCGCGGGTGAGTGCTGTACGTCGAAGTGCCAGTACCGAGACTCGAAGCACCTGTGTAGAAGTGCTGGTGAGTGCCACAAGGCTTCCTACTGCTCCGGCAGCAGTGCCCAGTGTCCGCCTCCTGTAAACATTCCGGATGGGACTCCATGCATGGTGAGTGGTGCCCTTCTGGCTTTATCCCATTTTGAATCTTGATTCCGTTTTAATATTTGTGTTAAGCTGTATTACTTGTGGAAAAACGATGTTCTTAATGTCAAAAATGCCTTATTCAAATTTGTTTCCATGATACTTGCACGGCAGTAAAACTTGCCACCTGTGTAAGTTTTATGGGCAATTCGTCGACTAAAGTGCATTGGAGACGGACTTTTCTGACTGAAGTAGTCACATAAAAACTTCTTCTTAATCTTTTATAGAAACATTAGTGTAAAAAAGGTAATAAAAAAGCTTTCATAAATAAAAGAGTTCAAATTTCTGACTTAACCAAACCTTAATCGATTTCATTTTGAAATCGTTTTTGTGAAACTGTATTAGAAGTGGTAAAACGTGAGAAAAATAGGTAAAAAGTCAAAATGAACCCTTTTCAGTCCTTTTTGGTAGTGACGTTGCTTCCTTGTTGCAGACTTCGGTTAAATAACTGACCAGTGCGCCGTCCTCATTGTGGCCACCGACTTGCTAACTCTACCCATTAAATTTATTCTCAAAGCTTATCTGAGTATAGACAGCACCGCACCCACTAATTTTTATCCACTAACTAGATTTTTGACGAAGATCTTATCAATTGAACCTGGTCTACGGAGATTTCTCTATTTGTGGCAGTACCAGGTGTCAAAACGAATTCAATCTCACCTTAGAGAGATGACCTTCGCCGTACTGGTGCAGGTTTAGACATGAACACCAGTAATCTGCTGCCAGGCCAGCGGTCCCTCCCAAACAGGATTGCATGCAACTTATGCTTGCCTGTTAGGAATGATTGAATAGGAGTCATGATGCTTTTTAAGAAAGATAAATGGAACTTAATTAACCAAACCATCACAGAATAATATTCTGCTATCACATCTTTGCCATGGGTCCTATTCGTGTAACGTGGGCTTATTGGGTGTTCCGTTTTTTTTTATATGTACGCCCAGAACCAAGTTTCTCCTAGAAGTACATGCATTACAAAGTCTTCTGAGGTAAAATGGAGTGCCTCTAGAAGCCTATGAAATCTAGCAACCGACCTCGGACCCATATTCTGGGTCGTGGGGCACTTTTCAGTTCACTACGCATTACACATACCTCATACGATGGTATAGTTCGTCAGCTTTGTGCTGTGAAGACAAAAAAGCAGACAATCCTTGAGGGGTGATACTTTGTCTTCTGACGATCGCTAGTTTAATTCCTCCTTAAGCTGGATATTTCAAACCTAGTGATTGTATAAAAATAAGCTGGCTCTTGCGCCGTATTAAAAGTTGTCGATTTTCCTCGTTAAAATAAAATGAGTAGAATAGCATACCTACTTATAGGGTGCATTATAGTACAGAGCATGTCCTCTCATTCCCTATGTAGGAGTGTTTGTTGGTTTGTCAATTCGGTAGATCAACTCTTGTCTCCACATTAACAGTCGTAGGTAGGGTACCAATCTCGTGCCAAGGCGAGGACATTCGTAGAACGTTTGGGGTCTAGAAGGATACTGACGGTAAAGAAAGTCGTTGAAAGCAGGCGGCTTACGAATTAGGAGGCATTTGCAATGAGAATGCAAAATGAATGACTTTCATGTTTGGTTGTTTGTTTCCCCCTTCTGTCAGAATCATACGCGGATCTGCAAATCGGGCGAGTGTCTGGGCTCAGTGTGCGAGCGCATACCCGGGTGGCAGGAGTGCTCCCTGGCCCGCGGTGAAGACATCACGCCCGAGATGATGTGCTATGTTGCCTGTCGCAACATCCACAACGACACACCCTGCATCAGCACCATCCAACTGGAGACTGTAAGTGCTCTCTCATGTTTCGTGTGCCTTAAACACCAGTTACAGTCTTCTAGTGTTTTGGAGTCAAAGCGATAAATTAGAACCGTTCCCCTTACTCTTTTCCTCCCCTTAATTTTTTTCCTAAGACCTTAAATCTACTTGTCACATTCATCCACAATGTCTGGTTTCACTCCCGACACAAGTTGTGATCTGTACTCACAAAAGCAGTCGCGTTTTGCTTCTTTTACTTCCCTCGTTCATCAGCCTTTTCACTGAAAAGCATTCATCACAAGTTCCATCTCCAAACTTAATCCTAGCGTCTGTCACTGTCATTCGCACTTCAGGTGATGCTAACAGAAGCGATGAGTTCCATCTTTTCGTCCAAGCAACTATGTTGTTCTTTTTTACTATTTATTAAGACTGGCTAGAACGACTGTGTGCCTTTCAAGTTCCCCCTCCCTAAATTGGCTTTGAGCCGTCAAGTGGCTGCAATTGCATTTGGCCTATGATGTGCAATGTTTTGTTTACAAAACAATGCAGTGGAATGCCGTTGTCTTCCTTTTCATTCTTCCTTTTTTTTCTCTTGTGGTGAATTCAGCGTTTTCGAAAAGCTGGATTGAGTTGTCAAAGTCACTCACGACATCCTTGAATACCTTGTGTGTCTCAGATTAGTAAATATTGTCTTTTTTATGGAACAATTTTTTTTCTTCCTTTTAAATTATCAGACCACAGGAGAGTAACTGCACTCTCAATCATTTCCCCAACTCATTTTCTTCTGAAATAATGAGCTGATTTGTCAAATTCATACACAATGCCTACTATTGTCCCTAACATAAGTCCTGGTAACCTTTACCTGTGAAACGAAGCAGTTGTCTCCCCTTCACCTCCTTTCCTGTTTTGTTTAACGGATGCTGGATAAAGCCACATCATTTATCCCTTCTCTGCGCATCCAGTAAGGTTTAACAAACTTTATTCCTTTTTTCACCTATCAAGGTGTTGGAGAGTATCCACGTTTTCCCCCTAGTTCCCACCAGCGCCACCGGTGCCAGTCTCACAGGGAAATCGGCCACCATAGCCCAGGTGTTTTACCGGTTGTCTTCACCTTTTTTGGTTATTTTAACCCTTGGTTGAAAGCTAGAAAAAGTGATCGTTCTTCTTCATTGTTTTGAACTTAGTCAATATCTTTGTCGCACAATTTGATGCGGTCAGTTATCAGGAGCTGGTAATGGACGTGTGTCACATATTTGTGACGCTAATGACGAACGCCTTAAGGAATCGAGACCCGTTTGAATTGCTGCGTTTACTTATACTTTTCACTTCATATTTTCGTCCGTTTTAAAAATTCGACAAATTTTTCAGTTGCACATTAAACGGAATTGACTTCCGTATTTTATGGTCAAGTTGGTTGCTGGCTTTTCCAAAATCCCTATTTTTATTAACCAGAACTCTAAATTCAATCTCTTCATTTCGTATGCAGATACTTATTTCAAATATGTATGGTATCCATAAATTTTTCAGGGAGAAGGCTTTAAAGGAAGAGGGAGACATGTGGGGTCCATCAAATCGTTAAGTATTAGGGAAAAAGCGAAGGCATGGATGGGCCAACAGCTACATTTGACATTATTTCATGTTCACGTGAAATTCGAGCATCGTTTTTACAGTGTTCCTGAAAGTGAAACACATCTGTCTTTCTTTTTTTTCGTAACACCTCTCCCTTGATCTTTTTAGGTTTTTCAGAAAATTGCGTTTAAAATTCCCAATCAAAAATTCGTGATTTACGTCAAACTCGCTAGTGATGTGTTTTCGTCAGAGGAGGGCGAATATCTTTGACCCAGGTGACTTTTCCATCCAGTCGCGAAATCAAATGAGCGCCTTATGCTGCCCATCATCCTTGCTCAACTTTTCCCGATTTGAACAAATAAACACTAGCCTTTTGGCTGTAGCCATTTTACAATCACATCTACGTTTTAAGGCTAAATTTTTACACGATTTTGGCAGCATCTTGGTCTCGAATACTGAAAACTGCATCAGATGCTTACTTTCAGTCGACATGTAACCACTGATAGGTTTGAACAATCCTCCATCGATGACGTTACGCCTCAGCTCTATCCATGGAAATGACGTCTCACAGTCAACTCTTTTAAATGTTAGAAGACAAGATTTTATGACGTTGTTTTGTGAGTTGTAGCAGTTGTGACAGGTCCTGCAGCATCATGACTATATTTACTCGGATTAAACTCTAAAAGCCCCTTTTCGGCAATGCGATAGTGAAACTGAGGACTCCTTGACTTCAATCAATCACTATTTTGTATTTCTTCCGGCTGATGGCTTCAGAAAATGTCATTTTAAACATTTGTTCTTATGGCTACCACCAAGCTATGTTGTAAGCCCGGCGTGAAGTTTGAAACCCCTTTTCTTCGTTGCTCTGTTTCTCTTTTTGCCCTTTAAAAAAGCTTTTTACTTGAAACTAGGTAATGGTTGGATCTCGCCAAAGTGGTGCTTCATTTATTCATCCCTAGCCTTAAACAAATAAAATTTTGTCATATATGGCACTCTGTCATTTTAATCGTTTTATGGATGCAGGTCTAAGATCGGGTCTGAATCTGCTCCACATCCCGAGATCTGTGTGATGGTCAAACTTTGCTAGCCGCTGCATCCAATCGGGCATATTCACAGCTCCAGAAAAGGGTGTGTGGTGCAAGCATGTCTACGTCTTGGCAACAGCATTATTTCAGCCTTCTGATTTCATGGTTTGGAATGATTGTCAACTACCCGGAAACATCTCCGGGGGTGAAGACTGCACTACTCGTTCTGCTGCTACCACTTCTATGAACTACAATGGCGAATGCGCCGCGCTAAAATGGCTCCTGCTTCAGATGGTCATTATCCCTTGACGCAAATGCGTCTGCCTTCGCTTTGCGCGGATTTAGTATGCTGTGGAAATTCGAATTAAATTTTTAAATCAGCAGCTGAATTAGTATTAACTTGTCGAATGACATGTGCTTCCTTTGTGTACCTTATCTGATTTATTTACAAAATTAAATATTCTATGGAGCCTGTTGAAGGTCGGTGTATCTGCCACATTTGTAGCGCATCGAGCCTTCCATGTAGACGGTAAAAGACAGAATATTAGGACAGAACATGCGTTATTGGCTTGTAAAGTGCCGGGAGGTCTTGCTGCCTG